GAGAAAAATGAGAGAGGGGAGGAGAAGGAGAGAGAGAGAGACAGAGACAGAGACAGAGACAGAGACAGAGACAGAGACAGAGACAGAGACAGAGACAGAGACTCATATGGCAATTAGCAAGCTTGCTGTTTTAAGGGAGAAAGTGACAGACATACAGTGAGAGAGGGGAAAGAGAGAGAAAAGATATGATAATTGGCAATCTCTCTACTTTTCAGTCTCTTGATCTAACATCCAGAGCAATCATTTCCTCAGACCACATCTACAGTATTTTCCAAAATCCTTCTTCTATGTGTTCTTAATCTGATATAAATTGCTCAAATTATTTTGCCTATTTTCAATTCCTGACTTAATTATTCTACACATTCTTGTATAATTTAATAGCCTGACTGTAAGTATCACTCTCATTTGAGAAGAGAGCTTCAATAAAAAGTCTTTACCTTCCTTTTTCATCATGGTATGCCATAGAAACAATGAAAATGGATCTTTTTGTTTTTATTGATTTATTGAATAAAACTACATCAATGGTAGACTCTTTAGAATTACAGAGACATAATGTTGACAAATTAGTTCAAGCCTTGGCTATTCAAAAGTTACTTTAGATATTAAAGTGATCTATTCTTCCCTGATCCCTTTTTCTCAAATAACAAGAGGCAAGTTTGCTAAGGCTATAGCAAAAATAGTGGAAGCTTAATTATATTTGTTTGTTAAATGATATATTTTCCATAATAAGTTAAATTTTTGCTTATTAAACTACCTTGGATTGGCTTTCTTGGACTACATTGTTTTAATGATTGAAAATTAGTAGACCATAAGAATAATTTTTGATCAAGAATCACAGATAATTATGATTGAGAAAAAGTTTATCACTTTAGAAAAGAAACAGTATTTTGGTTATGAAACATATTTCAAATAAAAAGGATGGATATGCTATTTATGTATTACATAATTATACTTTTGTATTTTATAATTTTATAGATTAATCTTGATTTCCCCCCTATATATTTGTTTCATATTCAGCTTCACTTCTTTTTGAAAAGAGTCTCATTTAACAACAGTGTTGGGGATGAAATTTCCTTTGATCAGAATGGAAAACTGATTACAGGACTGGATATTGATAACTGGGTCACCTTCCCCAACCAGTCCTTCCATCGAGTGAAAGTTGGGAAGCTGGATCCCTGGGCTGCTGAAGACAAAATGTTCACCATTCATGAGGAAGCCATCAGCTGGCCACAAATTTTCAATCAAGTAGGTTTTGCAAGGAGGTTATTTTATCTGAAATTATTGAGATGATGTTCTAAGAGTAGTTCTACACCAGTGGTTCCCAAAGTGGGCAGTACCGCCCCCTGGGGGTGGGTGGGATGACTTAGGGGGGAGGGCGCTAAGAGGCAAAGGAGGTGGCAGAAGAGTGCTGGAGGTGTTTCTGCTGTACTGTATTCACGACTTGCTTAGCGTGCAGGTGCGGAAGGGTATACAATGGGACCAAAAGCGAGAGTCTTTCCCTGCACAGCTTGTGTGGAGGTGGTGGCTCAGTCTCGCCTTACCAGGAACCGGCAACACCATGCCTTTGGGAAGGCTTGGGTCTCACATGCACCTTCAATGGGTGGAAGGGCTGGGTTCTTCTCCATTGCACGAGACTGGCAGTTAAAACAGCACCTCCATCTGTGTGTGTGTGGGGGGGGTGGCCATGAACCCCTAAATGTAGCAATGGAGTTGTTTTCCCTGCTTCTCGACAGCTTTGCCACATTTCTTCTTCACGGCCCGCTGTTATTTAATGAATGGGCATGTGGGTGAACAGCTTCACAAGAGCCGAGGATCCTGTCCCACCTGACATGAGTGCACAGAGACCCT